AGATAATTTAGATTTGGGTCACTGATTGCATTAATTTTGAATGGTGTATAGCATGAGTGGGAACCTTTGTCATTTGCTATACTGGGTTGCTGGAAGTTCAGCAATGTGTAGAATATAGTAGTCCCAAATCCTGGATTTATGCATTCCATGCATCAGAGGGCTGAATAGCACTCATCTTAATGATACTTTCTGAAATATAGCCAGGGTTATCTATCAGTCAGACATGAGGATGAGTATCTCTTGGTTCAGATAGAACATGAGTTTGACAGTGGGTTAAATGCAATGACTCATGATGCTTATTTCTTCCATGTTTCTTCTATGTTTCCATTATACAATTCATCTTGGTATCATGACAGCAAGCCAGTCAAGTTCAAACACCAGCATAATAATTGCCTCTCAGTTTTATCAGTAGTTTCACCTCAAACTTTCATGTTCTGAGGTATCTTTCATAATAAAAAAGGTGGATAGAATTGGTAATACATTTGATCCCTATTATAACAATGACTATTAAAGAATATGTAGAACTTCTTATGTTTTCTTTTTGGCAGTTAAAACCTTGCTGTGCTTGTTTTACATCTTTCTTTAATATTTTGAAAGTAATTCAGAAAAAGTCCATTGAACAACATATAATATCTTATACTGTTTATGAGACATATGCTCCCCTAATTTGACACTGTTCACTGAACATTGTTCTTGCAGGATGAGACTGCTTCAGCTGACAAACCATATAAACAGGAACCAACCCAGGTCACATACTCAACATCAGCTGTTTCCAGCACCCAGGAGGTGCTGTACATCAATGGAAATGGGACCTACAGTTACCATAGTTACAGAGGGTTAGGAGGAGGTCTGTTAAATCTGAGTGATGCTTCTACCAGCGGTGAGTGTTTCCGCACTTTTGCATATATGTTTGCATGCATGAATCTCTACCCTGTTGGGAAAACTGCTCCCTCATTTATTTCAGAATAAAAATTAGCCAAACCATTCAGTTGCTTAAGGCTTAAATTGTATCCTAATATTGTATTAATGGACACAGATTACTTTTTAAAATAATGTTTAAACCTCAACTCTTTCTCTAATTAAACCTAGATCTATATAATATAAAGTGTAGAGTATTAGATTGGGGAAAAACAAAAAGAATCGTAGTAGAGCAGGGTAATTGGAAAGAATTTTCATTTAATGGAATAGAATTATCTGCTGGAATGGAGCAGATAAGTCTGAACCTGTTGTATTCCATTTCTCAGCCTCCATGAGGTTTCGTTCCCTTCAGTTTTTCTGGAACTCAGTCATATTGTTTAAGGATAGCACAACAGTTGTACTACAAAGAGGAAAAATATTCATCATTCTGATAAAAGTCATGGGGAAATATGGAAGTATTGGAATCAATAACTGATATATCTACCTTCAAGTCAGAGTAAGACTTGTGATCAGACTACACTTCATCTTTGGGACTGAGAGATTGTTACTGTTTGCTCCAAATCACTATTGCCCAGTTTCTTGTTCTGAGCAATTCTGTGACTATATTTTGTGATCTAGAACTGGCCATCTTTATACTTTCATTCAACTTCTGATAATCATTTTATTCAATAAGGAACATCATTATTCCTTATGACTCTCATTTGTATAAAATTCTCTCAACCTATATGTCTGGAAATGTGGCACAGATGTTCCCCATTGTAGGAGCTACTAATGCCATATATTTAATGTCATTCTGCCTCAAGAAATGTGGAAAATGACCATATAAAGTACTTCTTTGAATGCTTTAACTCTCATATTTGTAATATAGAGGGCAATGCATCATGAAGAATGAGTACATATAGCAGCGGTTATAATCTCCTTTGTGACAGCAACATCTTGGAAGGATACTTGAATAATTCCAACTTCATACTCTGATTCTAACCATGTTTATTTAAAAAAGAATGTCCCATTTAATTTAACAAAATTTCCTTCTCAGCACTGCAGTGAACTATAGTATGGAATTGTTTCTGCTTGTAAAACAAATGTAAAGCTCAGATGCTTAAATTATGCATATAATTAGAGTCACTTCTTTCCTATAAAAACATGCTTGAAGAATGAGTGATAATGTAAAATGAATTTTGAGCTTTTAAAAAAATTATAAATATATTTAATCTGGCTTTTTAAACACATGAAGGACAAAATATTGTAACATTATGCTATAAAACAATACTATACTATAGTCTTCAATCTTGCCTGACAAATTACTATGAATGTAATAAACGTGTGAAACTTCTTAGAACAAAATGGCTGAAGTATTCACATAGGTATAACAAAAGTGCTGATATTTTAATAAAAAGCACCATTGGAAGCCTGTGAAGATTGGAAATATATACATAGATTATGTACAATGTAAGATTTGTGTATGTGTGTATGTGTGTGTATATACACAAACACACATGCACACTTATGAGAAATGCACATAAAATACATATTAATTTTCACAGTTGGAAATTGAGAAATTCAATAAACTCACATTCTGTTCATCCTTACTCATTTTAATTCCTCAGGTGCTTTACCTTGCAAATTCTGGAGCGCATCAATGGAATGTTAAATAACAAATGTGCTATATGGCATGTCCTTTGCCCCTACGCTAGTTTACTGTCCTGAAATGTGGTAGATTATACCGTCTCAGTGCTAGTTTCAGTGCATTTTTATACTTGGAATAGGAAAGGGTTTAAAAGATAATTGGATTCTTGGAAAAGGAAAGAATAAGAGATAATAGGAATGGATTTAAGAGATAATTCAGAAACCAATGATTACTAACTTTTTGTCTTGGATAATCTATTTCTTAATGATTAAACTTATGATTGTTAGGTGCATGGAGAAGAGTGATTAGTCTGAAACAAAGTTTGCTGTCCAATCATCCAAAATCTATAGGTTTAATGAGCCTTGTCATATTCAATCTGTTGCCCAAATTGTTATCTAACACAGATAACAAAATATGGCAGCAAGATTAGAATGGCAGCTTAATATCTAGGTGATATTTTTAAAAATCTACCATTTTTATTTAATACGATTACCTGTTTATTCTTACTACTTACAATTATATACTACTTCCCATAAAAAACTCTAAAGGCATGGAACAATTATCCAAATTAACATTAAATATTAAATATTAACATAACATTAAAAATCAGTATAACATTGTCTAAATCCAATTAAAAACACACAAAATGGCAGCTAATTAAAATGTAATTAGATTAGGATGTAGATTTTAAAAATGTCCAGATCAGTAGAGAAAAGATATATAGATGTCTTCGAACAAAGATACTACATGAGTACATCTGAAATCTGTAGTCTCATTGTTAGAAATCTCTTCCTGACAACATTGTGTAGTAAATGCTGCAACCGAACATGTTGCAGCTGCTTCAGAAGAGGAATCTGTTATGTCTAAGAGGCCCAGGGAATTTGGTTCCCCGCTGTTGTAAGTGGAATGGCCCACTACATTTTCATCTTGTAAGTCCCAATTCAACACCTCGTATCTGTTTGGAGTGTACCCAGGGCTTAGATTATTAATAATGCTAATGCTGGTGTGGTCATTACCTACATTATCTTCTTCAGTCGCCTTCTTTTTAAATTCCTTAAGGTCATCTTTTTTTGCTGCTTGAATGGTTTAAGTGATGTCTGCATGCCAGAATTCATTCTTTGTCGTTTCTTCCTCTTTCCCATGCTGAAATCTTCTCTTGACAGTAAAATATAAACAGTTCTCACCCAGTTTATAAATAAAATCAACAGTTCTCACCCCATTTGTTTGGAAATTAATCATATACAGTTGTGCACAGGGACCAGTAATTAATAAAGGATTAGTCTGATAATATAGAAGTAAAAATAAAAATTTTCCAGAGCACTTAGGAGCTAGATGCTTTCACTTTGCCATCTTAGGTCCACCTAACCTGAACAAAGCTAGCAGCAAATATTTCAATTGAAATAATTAAGACATACCCAGATGCCTCCCCAGTAGATACATAAAAGGCTCACTGTAGCTTGTTGGAACTGTGGGAGCAAAGGGAGGAGTTGAGGTGTTTTGCTTACGCTCTCCTGCAGGACTTGTTTCTGACAGTTTCCTAGGAAGAGGCAGGAAGAGGAATCCTCAAGAATGAAGAAGTGGAACCCCCTTTCCTTCATCCGGTCACTGCCAAGAGATTCTGTTTGTGCTGATGACAATGTTTCTCTAATGCAGTTCTTGAATAACCAAAGTCTTCTGACAAATCAATGACTATCCTGAATTTGGACAGTTGCTTGAGAATTATTGAGTTCTTTCACTACTTTAGGTTTAATTTACCAAAAAAAAAAAAAAAAGCGTTAATGGCTATTCATATTTGTTAAAATGATTGACAAGCAAAATGCAGTCCAAAACTTAACCCCAGTTATTAAAATTATTAAATAAATAGTTCCTTTAACATGCCTTTGATAATATTATTACTTGATTGGGGGCTTAACAGCACAATCTGCTTGGCATTTGAAAAAGAGCGATTCCTCTTCCATTTGAAAGCTGAATGAAACCTTGCTTGCAAACTCCTCAGAGTCTTCCATGTAATGTGTGAGGGTTGATTTTCAAGAAAAATGAGAGAATATTTCCCTTACTTAATGATCTAGTTTCCAGTTCTTTAGATCTGGCCAACATTAATTGTAGTACCTCCCCTCCCCCCACTCATCTTGAAACAGCCTTCTACTTTTTAAAAATTAATTATTACCAGTACAATGGTACCTCAGGTCACGAACGCTTCTGTTCACAACCAATTTGGGTCACGAACAGCTCCGTTCGCAAAATTTTGCTTCCGTCCGCGAACTCCGCATCGGGTGA